ATGTTTCTGTATACCAAACCGCATAGTCACCATAGATTTTTTGGCATATTTTTTCCCATCCTGCTTTCGAAGCTCAGCATAAAAACGCCTCAGCGTCGCATCACAATTCTCCACTGTGCCCGTTTCCATGTCTGCGATATCCAAACCCTTTTCAGTGAGGTAGCTAGAGAGCAATGTAACGGATGCCTGTACTGGTTGTTTTTGTGTTCCAACTGTCTTTTGCCTCCAATATGTCCGACAACTCGCTCTCGTCCAACACAGAAAACCTGGGGGGCGCCATTTCGGTTGTCGTCTGTCAACAACAATGCGAGGTGAAGGTCGGTCCAGAAAGTACCGGCTCCGCTGGCCGGAAATTGCCGACGTAATTCGATTGCGCTGATTGGTCAATATTCGGTGAGGCCCCGCCCACGACGTCACTCAATTTCCCGCATTTTCCGAGGGAAATAGTTTCGAAACTATCGCACCCCTCCAGACGAATTATTTCCCTGGCATGCAGTTAGAGGGAAAATAGCTTGTGTATGTGGTAACTTTTGTATAGTGTAAAGTAAGTAGAGGTATACTAATATTGTTTAACGTCCTATCAACAGCCATGGTCACATAAGGACGGCCTCCTCTGTGTGCAAGATGCATGCGTGTAGTGTATGCGTGTGTGTTTTGGGAGGCTGCGATATGTTCGTGTTTGTCTCCTTGTGATAGCGCGGAACTGATGCCGACTTTATAGTGCTACCTCACTGAAACGTACTGCCAAAGACATCCAGCAGGACACCCTACCCAGTCACATTATACTGACAACGGGCGAACCAGTCGTCCCACTCCTAATTTACTGAGCGTTAAGCAGAAACTACCATGTCACATGCTCTAGTATGTCTTGGCCAGGGGACAGAACATAAAGCCCTCCTCACAGGGGCGAACGCTCAACTAAAGGCCAAAAGTGAGGCACAGTCAAGGGAGACATTAGGAAGAAGAAAGTTTTTTAGGAAGAAGAGAAACGATAAGATCCCAAATTTAGTCGCCTCCTACGATCATGCAATGGGTACAGCAGGTACAATTCTTACGCTCTACCTGCAGGGTACTCCATTTTTAAGGACTTTGGCTCACCTTGATAAAACAGCAACCATGGAACCTTTTTTTTTTAAAAAACGACTATTTTCAAATAATGACTGTCTCTCGGCAACACCTGTTCCTTATTAGGTCCAGTCATTCTGATTCCATGAATTTAGGCGGATTTCCAATATTAAGTAAATTTTCCCTATTGGGCCCCGCCACCATGGTCCCTTAAAGCAACCCTCCATTTATACGAAATTGAGGGTACATACTTTATGATAAAACATATTGAGTCACCCTTGTCAATTGATGCTCTGTACCAAATGTGGTTAAAGTAACTCTCAGCATACTGAAGGATAAGGAATTTTAAAATTAAAGTAAACTTACTCTATTGGGCCCCATCCCCTATCCACCCCCTCTGTTTCAAAAAATGACTTCACTTTGTCAAATTTGATTAAAATCCTTCCTATGTCGGGCAGGAGAATGGATTTTGACGATTTGCCTTAATTGGGCCCCCCTTGCCTAAGGATGCCCTGAAACAAATTTGGTTAAATCTGTCAAATGGTTCAAGAGCAAATGAGTTTTAAGAATTTGCCTCAATTTTCCTTACATAGACCCATTCCTTTGAACCCAGATGGCCCAACACCCTGTGTTTATACTAAATTGGTTCCCTTTTGCCTAAGGATGCTTTGCACGTCAATGGTACAGAAGAAGGTCTTTAAAGGTTTAAACCTCAACTTCCTCTATTGAGCCCCACCCGTCTGCACCAACAGGGGCCGAATCTACTGTTTATACAAAATTGAGTCCCCTTAATCAAAGGGTCCTCCCGGCCAAATTAGGATAAAATCACTTCAAAAGAACAGAGGGACGAGGATTTTACTGATATAAACCGCAAATTTTCATGTAAGGTCCCACCCCTTTGCAAAAAGAGGGGCCAAACTCTTCATTTAAACAACTTTTGTCCCCTTTGCGCATGGATGCTATACAAATTTGGATAAAATTCCTCTTATGATTTTTACCTCAAATTCCACTATTATACCCCGCTTCTCTCCATCCAGAAGGACCATACACTGCTAATACAACACTGAGTCCCCTTACCTTAGGATGCTTTAGGCTAAATTTGGATTAAATCACTTCACTGGTACAGAGGGAGAAGGATTTTACAGAATTAACCTCAAATTCCCCTATTGGGACCAAGAGAGGTCACACCCTGTGTGCCCGTCCTCCGCAATCAGTGGGGCCACACCCTCCGTTTATACAAAATTAAGCCTCCTTTGCCACAGAATGATAAAGGCCTAATCCAGTCAAAATCCATATAACTGTTCATGACTTGTAGCGCTTTGAGAAAAAGTTGACGGATGGACGGGCGGACCTAGGACGCCGCGGTAGGGTACGTTCATCATGGTCCCTCGGATAATTATTGAATAATTATCTATTTGAACACGTCGATGATTCTTTTAAAATGTTTATCGAAATTGGTCTGAATTTTGCTGAACAAAGTATTCTAAAAATGATTTTCGAAGTCCTGAACGAACGAAGTACCACAGGGTTTTGATCTTCCGCTTCGCTTTCAACTCGGTCGATCACTTTAATATATGGTACCGAGTTCTATTGTGACTGAATACAATCGAGACATTCAAATTGTGCATATTTACTTTTACAATGATAATGTAGATGTTTGCAGATTCTTTCCTCAGTTTTTTTACTTCGATCATATTACTTCCTGTTTTGTTTACTTGTAATAATGTTTTGTTTACTTGTAATAATGTTTTGTTTCTGTGTCAATCGTTGGAGCATCTGCAAGCTGCTTTATCATGTCTGCACCGCCATTTTGTTCCTTATTTTGAATAGCAACAGCCCGACATTATTTCGTCTTTGCTTCCATTGATTTTATATCATTGATAAACTGGTGATCAGAATATAGATTAGCTAAAGGTATGTGTTGGTGTTTTTATGGTTGCTACACTCCAAGGGTGTTTGCTTTTGCAATTTTCACATAAAATTATTGTCACATTAGCATGATGTTTGTTTTAAGGTCGTCAAAAGCAAAGGATGTACGAGATTCCCTTTATATTATACGACTGTACTGTATCGTTATAAAGTATGTAGAAGTTCAGCCCAGTTTCGGTTGATTTTGACCCGATGATCCGTCAAGTTTAGATACATGAAAGTGTTACGAAGAATAAACAAACTACTCTTATAATATTATTTGGTACAGGACGGAGATTTTTATTGCATCCACAAATGTCTAAATATAACATATATATGAATATAATCAAGTATAGATAAGTGTTGCATTGAATATAGCAAACAATTCAACTATTTTACTTATGAACAGAGTGGACAATTTGATAACACTCGCAGATGCTTATCTATCATAAATGTAAATATTGTACAAACCCATTAAAACTCTAGGCCCTACCGCTAGAAGATTAGCTACATCACTTATTTAAACTGACAGCGAAGACACCAATGATTCACTGCATAACATTATCTTATTTACAATGAGTCCACAACCCCACCGACAGGACGACAGAGTAGGAGAGAACCTACCAGCAGATCAATGCATTTGCAGATTTTCAAAGAATAAAACAGAAGTCACGTCTTGTAACATTTTTATTTAAAAATGAATCCTTAACCAATAACAAATCAAGTAAAATAAGTTACGATCACAGATATAAAGAGCAAGTTTACCTAGAACCCCATAAAACAGTTAAATTTGATTTAATAAAAAAAAGTGTTAATACACAGATCTCGTAGAGTTTATGAACTTAAAGGTCATATTTATGATAAAAGGAGGAAGATATGGAGTTAAGACAATAAGTTCAAAAAAATAAAAAAATAATCTATAAGAAAATACTCTTTTATCGTGAAGATCAAATTAATGCGAAAAGTTAGTATATATTTATGACACAAGCGATTAAAATCATTCGAGATCTTTATATTTAGTAGATCAAAAATTGTCGTATAATGACACTCATTTAAGGTTAAAGGTTAAGGTTAATTTATACCAAATCCACTGCCACTAACGTGCAATAATTGTGTTAAGTTCTTTTCAAAAGAAACATTTTATAAAAATGCACGTTGCCATACATTTTACAAAGTTGTATTGGTTCGAAATTTGTAGAGGAAAAGGGTCAATACAGTTTTTGTCCATTTATACATGACTAGTTACATTCAATTTTTTTAGATGTTACTTTAAACTGTACCCTGAAAGACAATAGAAATGAATATATAATAACTTTATATAATCCAAAATCAAAAATGGTCACAAACCGCATAAAAATCGGATCAGCCCGATATCGAGATATTGACGTCTGAAAAGTTAAACGACTGTAGCAGCAATACTCTCTATAGATTTGTTCAAAAAAAAAATATTATTTTATTTTAGCTGGAAACTCAGTTATCATTTTTTTCTTACAGTGATAACTATCTCATCATACTAATAGTAATAACATGTGATGTTTTATATAGCGCCATATCTAGCTAGAAAAGACACTCTACATCGCTTTACAGTACATAGATATACAATTTTTACAATCAATACAGTTGTACATTAATCAATACAATTTTGACGAATTTGCAGGGGCTGCCTTATAAGGCGCTAACTACTAGGCATATGCCACCTGGCTAATGTCATCGTTGAACAGCACTAGTTTCTGTGCCGGATTATTTAACAAAACGACCTATGGCAAAGTTGTGCACAAACCATAATTGTATAGTTTGTTTTAGTATGCACATGTTGCCTGAACACCGTGCACACTTCCATGATTTTAAAACTTTCCAAATAGAAATGTGTTTAGAAAAACGCTTAAACTCTCCAGAAACAACCAGTATTAATTAGAAATGTAGTTAAACGGAATCCTAGGTGTTTTTTTTTAGCAGAATCATTATTTGAACAATAATTCATGAATGGACTGTCATCGATGGATTGATGAAGGAATCCTTCTCTCACTTTATCCCTTACTTTTTACAGCCTTCATGATGTGAACTCTACCTTTTTGATCACCTATCCAGATGTTGCCTTCCTGATCTGCTGCTATGGCGCCATCACAAGAATCTGTTTCTCCTGTGTAGATGCACTTTGCCGCTCCTCCATTTATATCTAAAGAACAAATTTTGTTCCAATCGGGACCTTTGAGCGTGACGAGAAATCTTTTCTCGCCGTTAATGTTGCAGATCAACACGTCATAGGGTTTGAATGGAGACATTTCCGGCCCTGTTTTCATTTCTCCCTTCCAAGTCCACAGACATTTTCCATATCCGTCGACGCCCTTCAGGAATCGTCCAGTATCGCACCAGTCGATGACAGCGATGGTATCACCGATAGTACAGTTCACCCGACCAGGTTCCATAAAGCCATGTTTTGCAGAGTAATCAAGTTTTGTAGCTGTTTCGTCTGCGATAGACATCTTTGCCAACATAGTTGGTTTCTGAGGGTTTGACGAGCAGAGGCACACCATGACATCTTCACCTTTGAAGCAAAGACCTCTTGTGGTATAACATTCTTCAAATGTGAACAAAGAAATCACTCTGTTGTCCTTTGTATGCTTTTTTAACTCGAAACCATTCCAGGATGTGAATAATACTTCACCACTAGTTGTCAGGCAGAAGTCTTCAATGCGCTCCCCCAAATTCCGTTCTTCAAGAATTTGACCGTTGCAATCCACGAGATATATTGCTTTGTCCGTGTAATGCAGTACCCATGCCTTCGACGAGTTAACAGGACAGATCGACTTGATGAAACTGCTTTTCGAAGTCCTGAACGAACAAAGTTCCACAAGTTCTTGATCTTCAGCTACCCATTCAACTCGGCCAATCATTTTAGGTACATGTATGATACCCAAGTCATTCTGTGACTGAATAAACACAAGACGCTGAGATTGTGAATATTTACTTTCAGTTTTTCTCAGCTTCTTTGCCTGCAGGTATTTTTCTTCGATCGGATCACTTCCGTTTTCGATTTTTTGAATTTTTTTCGTTATTTCTACCTCATTCATACGAACATTTGCAAGCGTTTTTACCATTTCGTCACCGGCATCTTGGACTGTTTTAATACAAGAAGTCACGCTTTCCTTTGCCTTTCTTTCCAATGATTTGATGTTATTATTAATAAACTGGTGTTCAGAACATAAATTGGCAAACGCTTCACGAATGTCCATCAGTGGTATCTGTGTATGCTGTTCATGAATACTACATCCCTGACATATTTTTTCCTTGCAGGATTCACAAAACATTGCTGCCACCTTAGTTTTATGAGAAGTACATTTTGCTGCCATGTTTGTTCCAACGCCCAAAACACACGAACTATGAAACGTCCTTTTAGGTCAGGGGATACAACATGTTTAGATTTACTTACCTGTGAACGTCAATGTTTATAAGGTTATTGTTTATTTAATTATATTCGTGACAGCTACGTAACTGACAAGTTTAAACATGTATGTAGTGATACTTGTTGCGCCAAAAGCAAACAAACTCTTTAGGATTTATTCGAAAAATTCAATGAGGTATTCACACCTCAGAGACAGTGGTATCGTCTGTCATCGTGTGTGTTTACGTACACAACGGACTTAAATGGGAACCTCAAATCTAGATACACGTATACCTTTAATAATAAAAGAAGTCATTAAAAAATGCAATAGTTTACTAAATATGAATAGTTTGAAATAGACTAGTCAACAAATATCCAATCGCCACCTTTATAATTATGGTAAGTTTTACGAAACATCTATATCTGCAAAACACCGTGATCGGTAATTATACACATGTATGTCACATTATGTGTTGTGGGACGACGGTGTGCCAACATTTAAATATATATAATGTCAAGAGTAACGTGCAGGCATTGTATATATTCAGTCGAACAACTGCTTAATATGTCTTTGTAGAAGATAGCACGATTTGTGTTTTTATTTTCCAGAGATTAATCATATTTCATAAGGCGTTGGTCATAGTGAAACATGAATAATCAAGGAAAACGAAAGGGAAAACTCTAAATGATATCGAAATCGAACAATAATTAGTCGCTCAGATCCTCCGTCGTGGGAGATGTAAAAACAATTCAAATAAGGGTTGGTTTAGTATTGTTTAACGTCCTTTCAACAGCTATGGTAATTTAAGGACGGCCTCCCCTGTGTGCAAGATGCGTGTGTGTAGTGTATGCATGTGTTTTGGGAGCTACGATATGTTCATGTTTGTCACCTTGTGATAGTGAGGAACTGATGTCGACTTTATAGTGCTACCTCACTGAAAGATACTGCCGAAGACATCCAGCAGGACACCCCACCCGGTCACATTATACTGACAATGGGTGAACCAGTCGTCCGACTCCTAAATGGGTGAGCGTTAAGCAGGAGTAGAAACTTCCATTTTTACAGACTCTGGTATGTCTCTGCCAGGGGACAGAAATAAGGGTGGAGTAATGGGGACATAATGATAAGTAATGCGACCTTGAAAATAGGTAATATAAATAACCTAAGCTGTTAATAGGACGTTTTAACAGAATACAACCAAACCAAATAAAGGTTCTTTCCCCTTGATTTTTAACACTTAAAACAACCTTTATACTTTGGTCGCTTTTGTGTCTCAAAGTAGAAGGCAACTCTCGGATAACAGAACAGGTGAATCGATATTATGGAATGAAACCAATCCGAAAGGCTCGTATGGATAAGGTACACTAAATATACTGTATTAATTGCCGATCAAATTAAGTAAGATTGTGTTCGATTTTACAATACGTTTAACACAATATTACAGTGGTTGTTAGACTGTCAGGAATGAGGCCTGACCCGCAGGTTACAGAACAGGTAAACAACATTACGACGAGTGACCCGAGTTTTACATGGCCTGTGCCTGACAAAGAAAGCTGTTAGGTGATACCGTATGAACGTTATTGAAACTCAACTGGACGTTAAATATTTGGTAATTGCATTCGTTCTGGTCTAAAGCTACCCTTCACATGGATTTTCATACCTCGACGAGTTACATGAATGCCCCGTATGTGGAAAACTACGGTCCAGGAACATGTACAATGTTGGTATGTTTACCTGTATATCGCACAACATTTGTCAAGCATTTGCATAGTCCATATTTTGATCGTTCTCACATCGTGCACACTTGGTTTGGTTGTATATTGTTTAATTTCGTGCACGCACCGTGCGATCCAAAAACTGTAGGTAATATGTCAATAAATAAAGATGCGTTTGGTATCTACAATGTATGTCACAAAATGCATTCATTGCCCTTGTGGAAGAGAACGCGATTCTTTTTTTCAAGCAATACATTTTAGATTGTCTCTGTTATATAGGCTTAAACGTCTAATCAACAGCTTAGATCATTTAAGGACATGCCTTTATATGTGTAACGAGATTAACATGATTTATCAAGGGAAACAAAGAATAGTGTATCACCGTTACAAAGGCAATATAATTTCATTATATCGAAATATTACAATTACAACCTAGTGAAGAGATTACGATTATATGCGTTTTTTTATATTGTTTTATGACAAACCGACAATTTGAGTCATTTAGGGTCAAACAACGATGTAAAAAATTGACATTCCAAAAAAAAAGAATACATAAAAACCAGAAACAAAAAGGTTATAACGTGTACAAGATGTCAAAATATATCAATAGCAAAGGAATTGGTTGTAAACCTTATCAACTCATATTATAAAGATTAATTGATGTAAATTATAATAAATTGCATAACTATATCAAATAACCGTTTCATAGTGGGTACACTATATAATCTGTCAGGTATTCGTTTGAGATCAGTGCATTCAATCATTAAATATTTAACTGTTAATTATTGATCACATGCATGCCAATAAGGTTGGTCTTCATTACGTCAAAATGTAACTATGTGTGATGTAGGTATATCCCATGCGTAGTTACGAGAAGACAACCTCCTATCTGCGGTCTGCTCTACCCATTGCACAAACACATACATAAGGTTGAACTTCTTTAGTCACTCGAAGTTCAGGTGTTAAGTATCGGGCTCAATTTTCTAAACAGATTATGAAAAAGGGAAACTCGAACGTGGGAGGTTATCACGCCCGTCACGTCATCAATGCAATTTCATTTGACGCAGTTGTATTCAAATATGTTTTTCGCTGCATAGTAGTTTCATAAAACCCCGACACACATATATTCTCATATAATCAAACGTGATTGAGGCTTCGATAACACAATTTTAGTTTTAGTGTTACATTCTATTACCTTTTATGAACTGAGACATATAATTCGGTAAGAAAATTGCGACAGGTAAACTCAGATTTAGTAATACATGTAAACATTCTTTTTTAAATCAGAACGTCTTGTTCTCGATACAGCAATTTCTGTACAACTCAGGTATATACCATAACAAATCCATTGAAAGCTTTCTTAATATTTGCTTCATGTATACAAACTGACCCGCCACTAGGCTGATACTAGTCAGTTGAACATTATGCTACCGCATGATCATATTCATTACATCAAAGAATCAATTTACCCGACGTGTATCATCCACATTGTGGCACACAGTGCCTTTAATTCTGTTATGACATTTCCCAGGGGGAAGGCAATAGAGATGATATTTGAATTCAGGGACTCCCTGGTAAAAGTCGGTTGAAGCAAATTTAAGTTAAAATGCTGCATCTTCTCTGATCGACATATTCGCCACTCTGAAAGCATAGCGATAATCTGTTGAGCAGAGACACACCATGATATATTCGCCCCTTGGACAAATACCTCGTGTCATATAATATTTATCAAACGCGTGCAAGGATACGTTTTTGCCGGCTGCCGTTAATTTCATCAATTCATGCCCATTTACCACTGTGTACAAAACGTCTCCACCAAATCTCTTTGTGTCAGCAATTTGGCCTTTGTAATCAGACAGGTTTATTGCATCATCCTGGTCGTGTAATATCCATGCCTGTTCTGTATCAACAGTACGAATTGACTTGATAAACGTTCGTCTTGAAGTCACGAAAAAGCTATGATCCAAGATTTCATGATCTTCATCTACCTAGACAAGATTACCAATTGCCTTGATATGATTTCCTTGACGCAATGAGGTTGAACAAATACTAAACGCTGCGATTTTGCGTACTTCGATTTGTTTAACAGCCACCTTGCCTTCTGTTATCGGACATCAACAGGACCTTTTTCCGACTCTATTTTTGCGATTTGTTTGGATATTTCAATCTCATTTTGACGTAGTATCGATACGCTTCGCCGCCGTCTTCAACATCTTTCTTTCCGAACGAAATACCTTCGATCACTGTCCTTTCCAATGAACAAAGGTTAGTGTTGATGATTGATAATTTTAAAGACATTGCAGACAATTCAGATTGAACTTCCTTTAGTGATATCGTTTTGTGTTTCACGTGACTGACACTGTCCTGGCAAAATAGCTGGTTACATGTTTCGCAAAATTTGTCCACAATATTCTTAGAGTGAAGGTTACATTTAGAAGCCATAATTTTGATTATAATTGATCGTTTTAAAGTTTCTATTTCATGTATTAAGCCCTGGTAGGAAAAACGTCCATTCTGGTCAAATAAAACATTTATCAATATAAATAATAACTCACAAGTCACAGAAGAGAGAATAATACAGTCATGTGGTATTTAGTAGTTTAGTCAAATCTGTCTTCGTCTAGTTGAATGGCATTAAAGGGAAGGGCGATTAAAGGTTGAACAAATAGGGTCTGCTGCATTAGGGTGATATAGTTACATCACTTGTAATTTAATAAAAGTATTTACATGTATGATTGAATTTGCACGCAGAATTATCGTCTCAAAATCAGCAGTCTATTGTTAACACTTGTCAATTTAATTTTAAAGAGAAATTACTTTGATATTTTGTTCTGTTTCGAATTACTATGACAAGAAAATGATCCATAATCTATATTGACTTGGCCTCAAATAACTGGTTATGTGATTTCAATTCATCATTAGTTGACCACAAGTCAACCGTTAGAATCCTGGTTAAGGTAGGTGTAGATTTTGATCTTACCTTGCATAGCGGTAAGTAAAGACTCTGAATTTCAAGGTTGGTATATCCGTTATAGTTAATACGACAAAGACCTTTGACGCTTTGTAAATATTACAAAGCATCAAAATTTCGGAACTTTAACAACACTCAAATGGAAAACACTGCCATCCATACTTCTAAGCAGTGTTTGCCTTCTGATATTTATTTTGATACTTTGTCATGTCGGCAAAAGTGGTAATGAAAAAGGAGATAGGTTTTAAACTACAACCGAAAGGTGTTAAACCTTCCGTAGC